ACCCACTGGAGTGACAAGGTGTAATCGATTTCTATTTTTTTTCTTCAGATTAGATTATTTGCATTGATGTGCAGTTATATGAATCTGTTTTCTGGATGCGTGGTGAAATTTGTTTGGCCTTGAAAAATATTGCGTCATCCGTGATTGCATCAGATTTTTTATCACGCCGAGACACTATTGTCCCAACTGTCGATTAGTTGTCCTACGGCCATTGTCTGCCATGGACGTTACACCAAGGAAACTTACACAAATTTGTAACGCAACACGAACACACTGGCAAGCGTTACCAGTGAGTAAATCAAAGTATTAGACTGGCACGGAAACTTTCCTGATTTAAACCCAACAGAGAATCTGGGGGTCAATCTACAAGGAACGACTTCGCGGAATGGATATATGAAGTACTAAAATATGCTCTGGGTCACGTTCCATTGGAAAAATACGAAAAAATAGTGAATAATAACGTTTTGTGAATGTTCGTTTTGTTTCAATTAATTTGCACAAGGGGTATATATATATATATATATATATATATATATATATATATATATATATATATATCAGGTCATCCCATAAGTTCTGTCCGAGTTTTGAATAAAGAAAACAAGTGACCAAATGTTACATTTAATTACAGATTCAATCAACAATGTATTTTCCCTGATTATCTATGACTTCTTTCCATCTATTAACACGCTTACTAATTCCATTACTGTAAAATTCTTTTGACGTTGATTCGAAGAACTCACAAATGTCTCTTCCTGTGTTACAAAAGCTGTTTCTTCCAAATGATTCTGTAAGCTACGAAACAAATGGTAGTCTGAAGAAGCAAGATCGGGGGAATAAGGTGGATGAGGAATTTTCTCCGCACAAAGTTCTTCGATCTTTTGTGACGTGATTCTTGATGTGTCGGGTCGCGTATTGTCCTGATGAAACATCACCCCTTTTCGATTCACGAGAGCAGGTCTTTTTTTCCTCAAAGCTTGGTTCAAACGCCCTAATTTCTGACAGTATATTTGAGAATTAATTGTTGCATTAGGTGGTAAGAATTCAAAGTGGATTATTCCTTGGTGATCCCACCAGATTGAAAGAAGAAACTTTTGCCCATGAAGTTCCCTTCTCGGCTGTGGCTGGGGTCCTTCCTCTTTACCAAGCCACTGTCTACGACGCTTAACATTTCGATAAGAGATCCATTTTTCGTCGCCAGTCACAAGTCTATCCAAAAAAGGTGAAACAAGTCGGCGAGAATAGAAAGAAGAGCAGATGTCAACTCGGGATTTGAGGTTGTTTTCAGACAATTCATGAGGCATCCATTTTCCAAGTTTAGGAACTTTTCCAAGTTGTTGAAGATGACGATGAACAGTTGTATGGTTTGAACTGAGAACCACTGCCAATTCCTCAACTGATAAAGCAGGATTTACTTCAAGGACTACTTCTAGAAGCTTTTCATCAGACTCAACTGGACGTCTGGTTCGATCTTCATCTTCAAGTTTGAAATCTCCACCTCTGAATTTTGCAAACCATCTTCTGCAAGTTCTTTCATTTACACATTCCTCTCCATAAACTGAGTGAATGTTTCTAGCCGCTTCGGCTGCTGAGTTTCCTTTCTTGAACTCATAAAGCATTATGTGCCTCAAAAGATTCTTGCGTACTTCCATGTTAGCAGGGTTTTAATCAAACAAAATGTAATTTTATTGCTCTATGAAATAAAATTTGATCAGTTTAATTGCATCTAAACATAAAAATAATGTTCAGCTCCATTAGACATTATAAAATACTCTTTAAATTTCGTTCATTTTAACAAAAGTTAAAATTCGGACAGAACTTATGGGATGACCTGATATATATATATATATATATATATAGTAAACAATATATATATATATATATATATATATATATATATATATATATATATATATATAATAGACAAAAATAACAATATTGGTGATATGATAAATATTCTATAGAAGTTTGGAATTTTCTTTTTTAATTGAGACAAACCCAAAAGTTTCAAATTATATATATATATATATATATATATATATATATATATATATATATATATATATATATATATATCCGTTGGTGAGAAAAAACAAAAAATATGTTCATAAAAAATGTATATCTCTTCTACACCTCCAACAAAATACCTGTTTGGCTTCAATGTGTGTAGCAACCGTCCAATCATTTGGGATCTATATATAACTATTAGTAAAAGAAAATTAATAAAAAATTTAAATGGATCTTAACTTTTCAGTTTTCCATTTTAAAATTCGGCCTTACAGAGCTTGTGAGTTATGATGATGCAATGCACTCTAAAAGCTTCATCCGACTAGAAGTCGTTCTTTTTTTTTTCTCAAAATTGTTTCATAGACTATACAAAATTGTTTGCTGTGTTACGACACCAGAAACTATTTGAAATCCTCGTAAAAATTGATTTATTTAAGAAAAATAGGGCAACACTGCAATGCGAAGGTCCATCGAAATAACAAATCATGCCTCCCAAAAGCTAAGCAAAGTACTGAGAAACAGAAATGTTTCTTTAAAAACAATAATTTCCATCAAGACAAAGAAACATAAAGATTCATTAGAATAGCGAATGTGCCTTCCAAATGTTAAACAAGGAATTATGAAAAAGGAAAATTCTCATAAGAATCAAAGTAAAAAATACTGAAGTTCTATGTAATATCTATCGTCGGATATGGCAGTGAATGCTAAAAAAATTTCAGTTTTTGTTCCACTAATTTCGACTGTTACGAATGTTATCAATGTTGCAAGTATCGTAGACAAAAGCTGTTAGCTACATCATTGAACTTTATGGTGGCGAGGTGTGAACGATACAATTATAATACAAATATACGAAGTAATGTCATGTCTAGAACAGTTTCAAAAAGCTTGACAGCATATGGAACGACACATTTTAGATTTATTTCAAATATTCTATAAGCTTTTTTTCATAAAATATTTAAAATATGTATAAAATATTAAAATATATTTTATACATATTTTTAAATATTTTATACGCATGTTAAATATTTCATACGCATTTTAATATTTTATAAGCATTTTAATATTTTGCATTCATTTTAAATATTTTACTGGCATTTTAAATAATTTATAAGCTTTTTTATACATATTTTAATATTTTATAGGTATTTTAAATTTATACGCTCGGTAAATTTTTTATAGGCAATTTTTTTTATTTTATATGTATTTTAAATATATTATATACATTTTAATATTTTATACGTATTTTGATATTCTATAGGAATTTTAAATATTTTACTCGCATTTTTAATATTTTATAAGCTTTTTTATACATATTTATATCTTTTATACGCATTTTAAATAATATACACGCACGTTAAATTTTTTATAGGCATTTTAAATATTTTTCTATGTATTTTAAATATTTTATATAGATTTTAATATTTTATACGTATTTTGATATTCTATAAGAATTTTAAATATTTGATACACATTTTAAATATTTTATAAGCACTTTAAATATTTTATAAGCATTTTAATATGTATACGGATTTTAATATATTTATACGCCTTTTAATTTTTTACACTCTTTTTAAGTGATTTATACGTATGTTAAATATGTTATCGGCATGTTCATATTCCATAGGCCTTTTAATATTTTATACGAATTTTAAATATTTTATAGGCATTTAAATTTCTAGTCGCATTTTAATATTTAATGCGAATTTTAAAATGCCATATCCTGTGATTGATGTTTTATTTATTAGTACAATTATTGTGATAATAGTTTCGAGAATTACTAGTGTTTCGTTACAGTGTTTGGTACACACACATCTCTCTCTCTCTCTCTCTCTCTCTATATATATATATATATATATATATATATATATATATATATATATATATATATTTGAGTGTATTAAAGCGCTTACAAGACATTGGAGAATATGTTTAAATTCTATCCGGAAACCAAAAAAGAAACATAAATTGTCCAGTGTTTGCTTACCTTCAGCTTTTATAAGATATTTACAAATATTTTAGCCATATCATTTTCATTGTTTCTTTAAAGAATGCGTCATCACGACTTATATCAGATTAGTTTTTTTTTAATCTTCACAGTTCATTTTGTTTTGCTGTGTCGTTTTTCGTTATTCTTGTGTGAAGACGTAATATTGGACAAACGTTAAAACTGGCCTCGCACGAAAAAGACAGAAACTCTTCGATCATATCTTACGGGAGCTGGAAGTATTCAGACGTTAGACAATTTATTTTAAAATATACACTGAAAACCTGGAAAACGCTTCGAAATATAGAAGAAATGAACAAAAAAGTTTTCATGTTTTTTAACCATACTTTATATATATATATATATATATATATATATATATATATATATATATATATATATATGATTAATAATAACATAAAATTTGTCGCTTAGTTGATTGATGTTATTTTCAGCACGCCGACTCAGAGTTTCGTTGACGATTCTTTGTGTAATTGTTCCGTCCATTCTTCAGGAGGTATCAGCAGTTGTCTGGCGATTTTCCCATTTTCGTTTTTTTTTATATATTAAGTTAAGAAAAAAATGTGTGTTCTTTTTTTGGTGTTAAGTTGATTTTTTCTTCTCCTCGGTGTGTATGTCTGTGTGTGTGTGTGTGCGTGTGTGACTGTGGGGCTCCACCTGTACTACGTGTATATATGTGCACATACGTAGAATGTGGTATTATTTTCATATATATATATATATATATATATATATATATATATATATATCCTTGCGTCTTGGTGGCATTATCGCTTTGCTTGGGGTGAATTGATTAAAAATTGATTTTCTCCAGTGCGGATGCCGATGCATATATGAAACCCAGTGTTTAAAATTAAAAAATATATATATATATAAAACAGACCGCCTTTTTCAAATAGAAGTATCCCCTAAAATCATTTTCAAAGTAATATATATATATATATATATATATATATATATATATATATATATATATATATATATATACAGAGAGAGAGAGAGAGAGAGAGAGAGAGAGAATGATAGATAGCAACAAACTTATAGACAGAGGGATAGTGAAAGAGAAAGGGATTATTAACTTACATATAATGTAAGATATTGTAGATAATATAATTATAGATAATAGACATGCACAATGTTATGCATGCAACACATAAGCACACGTACACACACAGAGACACACATGTATATATATATAAACACACACACATATATATATATATATATATGTGTGTGTGTATATATATATATATATATATAATTTAAAAGTTAAACAATATATATATATATATATATATATATATATATATATATATATATATACATTGTTTAACTTTTAAATTAATAAGACAGGGCGATAGAGATATGCATAGTAATAATCTTATCCTGAGTTTTTAAAATGACATTTGATTACAAAATGTTTTTACAAGATTTTATTTCACACACACCATAAAATTATATATATATATATATATATATATATATATATATATATATATATATATATATATATACTTCTTTATTTGTACGTATTTTCGTCCGTGTGTGTGTGTGTGTGAATTCTGATACCCGCAAAAAGCAAGTCCAAAGAGGATAGGTGCGGCAAACAATCAATGGAGACATTGGCAGAGGGTAGAAAACAAACAAAAAGTTCTTTCCAACTCCCCCGAACCCCCCCCCTCCTCGGCTCCCAATAACATAGACAACCTATTCTTTTTCGGTGGTGAAAGTTTGAGGAAATAAGTAAAGTGGCGTGTTTTCATGGTGGACAAAACACAAACATTTGCTTGGATTAGTTACGAACTATTGTTTACGTTGATACGGGGAAAGACGCCTGCAAGAAAAAAAAAAAAAAAAAAACTAGGATACGCAGAGAAACACACGCACGTGCACACGCACGTACTCTCTCTCTCTCTCTCTTTCTCTCTCTCTTTCACTCACACACACACACACACACAGATATGAATTTTCCCTCGAAATTCACAGATTCATGTACATGTGTGTGCTCAAATACACGTATGCATGTAGAAAATATTTATAAATTTGAGGTTTCGCTATTAATTTAAATCCATCTAAAATAAAACCACTACCTCTTTATCTTGCAATGATATCTTATGGTTATCATACTCAACGACGAGGTACCAGCCATTATGTATGTATGCATATTTCATTAATGGGTACGAAAAGATTTATGTTCACATTTTCATTTTAAATTATTTTTTTCCGGGTTTTCTTATTATACCGTTAGTGGATAGAGAACTTTACAGGTAATCGTTGACAAAATATTGGTTGTATAATCCAATAATCCTTGCGTAGATAATCACAGATCGTTGTTGCACAGATGATCACTGATTATCATTTTACAGATCACAACGAATCATCGTTGAACAGATCATAATGGATTGCCATTGCACAGATCATCACGGATCATCGTTTTACAGATCATCAAGGGTCATTGTTGCATAAATCATAAATGGATCACAGTTTTTCAGATCACAACGGATCACCGTTTTACAGATCACAACTTATCATTGTTGGACAGATCATAATGGATCATCGTTGCACAGATCATAATGGAATACCGTTGCACAGATCATCATGGATCATCGTTTTACAGATCATCGTTTTACAGATCATCAAGGGTCATCTTTGCATATCACGACGGATCACCATTGCACAGATCATAACGAATCATTGATGCACAGATCACAAGGTATCATCGTTTTACAGATCACAACGGATCATCGTTGGCCAGATCATAACGAATCATCGTTTTACAACACAACGGATCATCGTTACACAGGTCTTCACAAATCTCCGTTGCACAGATCAGCACGGATCATCGTTTTACAGATCATCACGGATCATCGTTGCACAGAACATACTAGATCGCCGTTGCACGGATCCTCAATGTTCATCTCTTTTACAGATCTCGTATCACTTTTGCACAGATCATCAGGGATCATTGTTGCACTGATAATATCGGTTCATCGTTGCACAGATCATTACAGTTTTAAAGATAATCGCGGATCATCTTTTTACAGATCATCTCGGGTCAGTATTGCATAGATCATCAAGCATCATCACTTTTACTGATCACTGATTCCCGTTGTACAGGTCAAAACGTATCATTTTTGTCCAGATCATATTAGATCATCGTCCCACAGATCATCACATAACATCATTGCACCAGATTATCTCGGGTCATATTTGCCTAGATCGCCACGGATCATCGTTTTACAGACAGATCACAACGGATCATCGTTTTACTGATCATCGCAGATATATCATATATAATCTTTGACTCCTTGTGGCCAAATTGCTTTACATTTTTCAGGCGATCTATGGTGGCTATTTTCCTTGGTGCAAGATAGATAGATAGATAAATGGTTTTGTTCGAGATTGTAAATATATTTACCCGACATTGTTTATTCAATTATTTTCTGCCACTTGAGACATTTCAGATCACAAGGAAGAAAGATTGAATCAGGTTAAGTATTTTATTTTATTTTTTTTTGCTGGCATTTTTTCGTTCGTTTTAATCGTGTTACATATTTTAACGATATATTTCTATTTTTAATTTTGAGCCCATGTCACGTATTGTGATGTCATATTGCAAGTTTGAATATCTTGTCGAATATTCAAACAGTTTCACGAAAGAGCTAATGTATTTTTTTATATTAAAAATCATTTAAATACAGGTATACTTATGTTAAATGCTATTTTGTTTATTCTAGATTTATTATATAATTATTGATTTTTAATATTTGTACGCTGTCTTTTTTATTTTATGTATATTAATTATTTTATAAGTTTCCCTGAGCTGCTGGCTTGTGAAATACTTTCTTTTGGATTTTTATTGTAGAATCTATTAGTAGTATATTTCTTTTTTCCCGCTACTGCCGAATATGTGAAAAACAGATGTTAGTCGATGTGAAAAAGTTGTAGCCGTATAACCAATGAATAGTTTGTATATTCGATTATTATTACTGGTAGTTTTATCGAAGATATTATGCGCATGAAAATTTATATACTAACTTGATTTTATCAAGTCTGTTTTTGGAAGGGTTAATATGATTAATAGTAACAATATGACAATTGATTTTTAACAATTATTTTTATAATATATTCGTAATCGTATAGGTTTATTTATATCAGTAAGTGATCTGATCTATGTATTGTTTTTGCATATCATTTTGTCATTTGTTTCAGTCATTACACATTTGATTACAAGTGAACGAATTATATTTTTTTATTGGTAAATTTGTTTGGTATTTACTATTGTGTATTTTACATTGCTTATTTTAATCTTTGGTTAATTATGTCATTTTGGAATCTTTGATTAATTAATGTTTGTTATGATTAAGGAATTGTTTGCATGAAGAAAAAATTAGATATTCTCTATTATTTAATTTTTTAAGACGAACGTAGAAAATAATAAGAAATATTAAAAGTTATAATTGTAAAAGAATAACAACAAATATGATATCATGCATCACTGGAACCAGTACCTTAAATATATTTAAGAGGAAATAATTGAATTAGAAAACATGAGAAACTGATCGATCAGTTAACAATATATATATATATATATATATATATATATATATATATGTAGTAAGACTTTTTTATGTTTATACATTCTTTTTATAGATACAAATATTTAAGGAAATGCTCTGTTTATAATATACTTTTTTTTAGGTATCTTTTTTCCAATTGTAAGAAAATTTGCTCTGTTTAATGAAAATAAACTTTGAGCGCTTTTTTTGTGAGTCCATTTTAACATAATTCAAATTCTATGTTGTGTTAATAGGACTCGCCTAGATTATACCAACGGATTACTACCTCTCTCTCTCCCTCTCCCTCTCTTTCTCTCTCTCTCTCTCTCTATATATATATATATATAAGAATGTATGAACATAAAAATGTCTTTATATATATATATATATATATATATATATATATATAGTTTACGAAAAACTAGGTAATCCGTATGGGTAAACCTAAGGAGGATAAAATCAATGTAAATCCAGAGCAAATAATTTAAATATATATATATATATATATATATATATATATATATATATATATATATATATATATATAAACAAATTCAAATTGAAATGTTACGTCATAACAGGTGACTTGCAAAAAAATTCTTATTTGATGAATCACGATCAAAATTGCCAATGTAAAAGAGTGGAGAAAGCAAAGTCTTATCTAGTTTGAAAAGAATCTCCCCAACCACTACCACTGACTATGGCCAAAGCGGCCGAAAGGTCGTAGGGAAATAATATCGGGAAATAGATTTATAATCACGATACATCAACAACTACACTTAGGAGAAATCAACAAAAATTAATTTAAAGAAAGAACGCATCTTCACGTGGATTTTATTGAAATAGACAAACAATCTTCTATCAGCACCTGACGATTGCATCGTACATGAAACTCAGAGATGTACTATCATCGAGGAAATAAAGTATATTAATATAAATGTAATACACAAACAAGAGATGTTTAGTGTCGAAATATTTTACATGTATACGTGTGTATATATGTGTGTGTATGTGCGTGTGGGTGGGTGGGTGTGAATATATGCACTTACATCCATACGTTAACTAAATAAATAAATGTAAAAGAAAAAGGTATGGTTATATGTAGCGTGTGAATAGGTAAGAAGACATGGAAAAAATATCGAAAAAACATGTTATCAACCGCCATTTTACGCCTTTATCATCGTAAAATAATATCTTTATACATATCTATAAAATGATGTGTGGTATGTTGCACGTATATATATATATATATATATATATATATATATATATATATATATATATATATATATATATATAAACATGAGTAAATGAAAGAAATACAAGAAGCTTTCGTATTTTCGATAATCTTTTTGTGTAATCTATAGCGATTTACACTGAGCACTTAAACACAAAAAAAGCCAGCCATGCCGGTCGAACCTCTAACAAC